GTGATGCTGTCATGCCCTGTTGTGGATTTTAAGTTCTCGAGAATTCTTAAATTTTCCCCTTCTGATTTAGTTTTCTTGCACTTTTTCTGCAAGGTCAGGTTTTGAGAGTCCTTGACTATTCACGTAATAGTAGGCATATATTGGTGACAGCAGGAGATGATGGTTCTGTGCATCTCTGGGATACAACTGCAAGAACTCCAAAGGTACCTAAAGTACATTGATGCTGCTTAGTTGAACATCTCCTAGGGTTCATCTTAAATCAAAGCTATGCCATTTTTATATAATTTGAACAAAAGATAGAATAGAGCCTCGAAGGTAGCATGTCATATAGGTGATAAAGGAAATCTAAGTTTAATAATTGCCAAAGTTGACTCTTCACTATCTGTTACCAATAGTTAGAAGCTTGGAAATATAATTAAATTGATTGGGAAATATTCCCTCATTTTGTGAATACTTGTCACTTTTGACCGTTTTATTTGTGCACAAATACTTGTCAATTTATGGTTCCCAATGTGCATTTTCCCTATTTTATCCATATTAACTCCCTTGCTTTCTATTCTCTCCACCACATATTTGGTGATTCTTGAATGAAGCATTTAGTTAGTTTTGGAGGGCAATATGACATTTCGTATGAAAGTTGAAAGCAAACAATTACCTAGATATGTGTGTTATAGTCAAAAGTGACAAGTGAATATATCTATCTATACAAATGCTGGTTCAGATTATTATTTTATGAAAAATAAAGAAAAATTCCAGACAGTGATTTGAATAGTCCTCTCTGTTTATGGAGACTTAGATGTGATTGCTACATTTACATTGCTTTGTGCTTTCTCTAATGCTATCATCTAACTGATTTTATTCATCATATAGGTCTCATGGCTGAAGCAACATTCTGCACCCATAAGTGGTGTCTGTATTTCGCCCTCCAGTGATAAGGTTTGGTACTAGTTAATATGGTTGGTTCTTATTGTGTGAATGAATAATATCTTCATATCTTGGTATTAAGGTCTATAATTTATTTTGTAGATAATTGCTACAGTTGGCCTGGACAAGAAGTTGTACACACTCGATTCAGGGTCAAGACGACCAACACACACTATTCCTCACGAGGCCCCTTTCTCATCATTGGCATACAATGATGATGGTACAATATTGGCTGCAGGCACAAATAGTGGTCGTGTGGTATTTTATGATGTTCGAGGAAAACCTCAGCCATTGACTATTCTTCGTGCATACAATAGCTCAGAGGTGCGAAATTGTACATTTTTCTTTTTCCTCATTGCTGTCTGCAAATATATTGCATGATCTACAAACAGATTTTGTTCTCTATGTGTAAATGAATTAATCCATTATTACTATTGATTTCTATATCGGTGGAGCTTGCGCACATGTCTGCTGATAACTTGGTTGCTTAAGTATATCACAGAACCCTTGCTTGATTTTGAATGTTGTCAAAAGTTCATCCATTTTCCAGTATTACATTACTAGCCCATTTCAGTACTATGTTATGAAACCACATTCGAAGATCAAATGTATCACTCCTTAGAAAAAGAAGTAATCAAAGATGGAATTTTATTTAAGTGAGGGTGGGGATTTTTTTTGTTGTAGTGAAATTTCACATACTTATAATGAGCAATTTAGTTATTATTAGGCCTTCTACTTGGTTCACAATTCCATCTTTTACTATATTTCCAGTTTTCCACCCCTTCCTGAAAAATAGAGAAAACACTCTTCTATTTGCATGTATTTTGCAGACTAAGTTTATATTCTAGAGTATGCATATGCTCATAGGAATTGTTGACGTTGAGCAAATTGCATTAGGATAATGTCTGCATGAATTATTTGTTGATTTTCAGTTTATGCAGACCATTTTTTCTTTTTATTCTGTACTATGGCCATGTTATTAACATGATAAGTGACAACTAATCTCTTGAAGGACAAACAGTTCAATAAACTGATATGAACCTGATGTAAAATTTCTTCACAGATATTATTGTATCTGCACTTTCATTGATGAGATTTTGAATCCACAATGTTTAATCAGGCTGTGACAGGTTTATGTTGGCAAAGGTCAAAGCCTGTCATTGTTAACGAGAATAGTTCTTCTGAGGTTGCTCTTCTGGGTGGGAGTAGTGAAGAATCTGTTCTCATGCCAGATCCCTTGCCTTCAGCAACTTCAGCTTTTCATTCTGGAGGTGTCATCCCAAATCTTCGGTCTTCTTTGGCTGCAAACCCAAGTGGATTTCTTTCTACCTCTACCTCGTCCACTGTGGAGGAAACTCCATACAGGACACGGCCATTGTCTGGTGGACCATTATCAAAGCTACAGGCTCCTCGTAGTAACTTCAGTCTAAAGGATGATATGGATGTATTCTCTCCACTTGTAGATGTTCAACCTTTCACACCGTCCAGTGGCAGCCTGTGGGATGACCATGGGAGTGATGAAACAAAAAAGGATGATAAACTTGGAGAGAAGAAATTGTCGACAACTAGAAAATTCCCGTTTATTGAAGACAATAATGAGCCACATCCAATCTCAGACTGGAAGTCAATTTCCAATTCAAGACAGGTTACTTGATTTATTCTGGTCCTATATATCACTGTTTGACTTGACATAACCGAGTCATGCAAAGATGTAAAGCCTTCTTAATTTTGTTCTTCATATCTCTATTCTACAGGATGATGCCTCATCAGCAACCACTACATCCATGCCATCATGGAAGAGTGAACTATCTATCACTTCACCTGAGACAGCAACTGGAAATGCATTATCCGATAGGTTAACTCACCGCCAACAAGTCTCGCGCTTTGGGGCTTCAGCCTTTCAGACTGGCAGCTTTGCATTTGCAGGCTTACAAGATTCAGCTCCAACAACTGGTAACTCACTGAAAGGTTCTCTAACAAGTAATATTTTAATGAACCTACAAAACAAGGGTGTCTTGAGCAATGCACGCCCTTCCCTGGACATATCAACTTCTAGCCTCCAGAGTTCACTGTCCTCAGGCTTAATGGCCAAGACTATGCCACCAGTAAACTCCGACCAGCCTGGAGCAGCACAATCTAGTTCTCAATGGAGACCCTCAACATATACTGATAGAGTGAGCACATCGTCTGTTTTCAGTGAAGGATTAGCATCAGCCTTTGGTTCACCAAAATCAAAGAAGACTGGGGCAGAAACAAAAGATGAACTGCTCAGCAGTCTTCTATCAAGACAAGAAGCAGCAGCTGCCTCTTCATCTGCCAACCTTGTAGCAAACAATGTAAGAACCACCCTTTTGCTAGTATTCTCGTGTGACATAAACTGATAAATGTCTGAATAACATAGTTTACTGGTGCTATTTTAATAGGGGGTGGTGCCACCACAATTGCCAACATCAGGTTTGTCAGCTGATCAACAGGGAGCTTCATCCTTCTCACTTCAGTATGTGCAGCGGATGCTTGAAGAATCCCTAGGGTCTGTTCAGAAGTCCATCCATGAGGACGTGAGAAATCTGCACATCGAACTTCTAAGACAGTTTCACATGCAAGAGGTAAGACAAATCTTATAAGCAACCATGCTTATAGTGTACATTCTTTCTCCGCTTCCATGCACTAGATTACACTGGATTGAGTTCTAGTCTGTCAGCAACCTAGTTTGTCAATGGCAACCACCTAGATAACCTGTTCCAGGGCCATGCTAAAGTCTACTTAACACGTTTGGTGCCTGGAGAACTCTAGATGTGTCAAGAGGAGCACTGGCATCATGAGCCGTTATGCAATCTGCAGACAGCTTTTCGAAAGAAAAGTATAATAGTTATTCCCTCTGTTCCCAAATACTTACACTTCACCAGCTCATGCTTTAGCATTTATCAAGTTGGTGGTATTTTGAACAAAAAGCGGAGAGAGAATGCTTCACAGACGACAGTGATATCACAAGCATGAGCCAGGATAAAAGGAGGCAAATTAGTGGGATTGGATGAATCTTGTTAATTGGGGTGGTTTAGGAAAAAAATTGGTAAAAAATGTTCAAGTATACTTAGAAACAGACGATTATGGCTGGTAGCTTCCATCTGTTCTGATGTGTTTGTGCATTTGCATCTGCTATGACATTTTCTTTGTGTAGTTTAATCCATGATTCGAGGACTCCATATTTACCCAAGGTTTAATACCTTCTTGCAACAGATGGAAATGTCGGGCGTGTTGAACCTGGTCTTAGAGAAGTTGGAAGGCCTTACAAAGGAAGTGCAGCAGCTAAGAAGGGAGAACCAACAGCTCCGGCAGCAGCTCCTCTAATCTGTATATTCTTTTAGGGGTTAGTTTTGACATTGCTGTGCTTCGCTGGAGCGTACAATGGCTACAATCCCCGACTGATATTTGATTATCTGTTTGTCTAGTTGGGTTGGCGAATAGGAAATCCATGTTTGACACGGTTGTACATAGCATCCCTATTCAGTCTAGGAGCATATTGATTAATTTGACCTGTTTGATACTTTGATCAGATTGTTTTATTCCTTTTTTCCCTTTTTGTTGTGCCATGTTTGGACATTGGATGCAGTCTTGTTCGTGTCTGCCTGGCCTATGTGGAATGCTAACAAAGAGGTTTATAATTGAGTAATCATTTTTTGTAATTTTTCTTTTCATCAACGGCTGTAGAAACCCGCGAAGCATTTTGCCTACGAATATTAGATATACACTTATCTAGATTTATAGCCAACTATAGTATAGACTGCAAAACACAATATGTATGACAGGTGATATTATATATTAATAGTATAGTATATGTTGATAAATAACTATTATATAATATTAACTATTAAATTAACTACAGATGATTTGAAGCTAGTAGTTGACTGTACTATTAAACTTTTCTTAAGGGAATGTGAAATTTAAAGCGAGTCAACCAGCGAAACATACTGCAATTTCAAGATTTGTTTATCCCGGAGAGTGGCACAACTGAGAGAGAGTAGTATCTTAGCCGAGGCCGTTTGCTTCGCGTGGTCATCTTCCTCCCGTGCACACGCGGGGACGTAGGCTGTTACGCGGCGTCGCCTCCGAGTCGAGTCCCAACCTGTTTCCGTGCCTTTTCCCTCTTCCTCACCTGCCTGACCTGGCCTGGCCTGGCCCCCAATCAAAAACGAGCGACCTCAACCGACGGAATCCCCAACCCCAACCCCCAAAACCAATCCGCCGCCGCGCTGCCTCGCCTCGCTCGTCGCTCCCACCACCACCACAAACCCGCGCCTCCTCCGCCGCCGCACGCCCGCCCGCCGACGAATCAGGTGAGCGCGCCGCCCTCCTCCCCCTCCCGCTATAGATCCGTAGCGCCCGATCTACCCGCCGCCGCCGCCCGGGCTGTCCCGCCGATACCTAACTCCGCGATTCGATGCGCGCGCCGATCCTTCGCCCTAGGTTTTGACCGCCGCGGCGGCGCGGGCTCTGCTCGGATCGCCGGTGGTCCGGCCGGAACATGGTTCGATGAACACTGTTGCAGGCTTTAGCCGATTGTACTTCCCTCATGAACTGCGACTTTGCGTTTGTTAGTAGAAGGCGATGTGTGGGTGTGTTTTTTTTGTTGACAGTCTAGCTGATTTAATATCTTTGCTATTTAGCCCACCATCTTGGGAGATTACGATCGGATTGTGCTATTAAATTTCTCGGCTGCTTGTTGCAAATGTTAATTGCATCAGTAAACTTTGTGATAGTGTGGGCATATTACAGTTGGGGGGCATTAGTTGTATCAGGGGTGTGAGTTAGCTCCTAGTTGCTTCTTCGGTTTAGCGTTGATTTTGATTTGTTTCGCTCATCCGATTGCCTGTAAATGATGGTATCTTCTATGCTTTCGTCCTGCAGAGTTTGGATTTAATATTACAGGCGCAGCCATGTTCAACAGGCTCTTTGGTAAGCCCAAGGAGCAGGCCAATGCTAGTGCGTTGGCCACGCTTGATAAGTTAAATGAGGTAAAGCTTTCTTATTCCTCTCCATTCTATGATCTTAGCCTTGATTCTCTTGTGCTATGCGCATTGTCTGAGTCTTATTTGGTCTGCCTGAATAATTCAATTATTACTTTGTTACTCAATAATGCACATGTCCCAAGTCACTTGCAAATATATTGGAACTGAAATCTTACTTTATGTGTATTTAGACCCTTGACATGCTGGAGAAGAAGGAGAAAGTCTTAGAGAAAAAGGCAGCCGCAGAACTGGAGAGGGCTAAGGAGTTCTCAAAAGCAAAGAATAAAAGAGGTGTGGCTTATCTCCATAGTGCAAGTTGTATTATATATTTTTTGCTTTCTTTTGATCTGAACTGGATTGATGTATAACCGTTTTAATCTGGACTGAAGTGATACATAGCTGTGCTAATATTTAAGTTAATGAAATTGTTCTTGTTCACCAGCGGCTATCCAATCCTTGAAGAGAAAAAAGCTTTATGAACAACAAATTGAGCAGCTAGGGAACTTCCAGTTGAGAATTCATGATCAGGTTACTTCCAACTTAAAATTTTCACATCTGATTACTACATGTTATAAATGTTTATATTATAATAATATTGAAAAATACAGATGATCATGTTAGAAGCTGCAAAAGCTACGACAGAAACCGTTGATGCTTTGAGGACTGGAGCTGCAGCTATGAAAGCAATGCAAAAGGCGACGTGAGTATTTTCTGAATCATTTCTTATTTTGGGTTTAGTGGTTTATCCCCTGATTCTTTCAAGAAAATTATGTCTCAAAAATGACTATTTACTGTTTTCCTGCAGAAATATTGATGACGTTGATAAGACTATGGATGAAATTAATGAACAGACTGAAAACATGAAACAAATACAAGATGCTTTGTCAGCCCCTCTTGGAGCATCTGCTGATTTTGATGAGGTAACTCACTGTGGACATTTACAATGTGTAATATCTTCATGGTTTTTTGTTTGCGGTGCACTTAATACGTACCATAAAACTGACAGGACGAACTAGAGGCAGAACTGGAAGAACTGGAGGGAGCAGAATTGGAATCTCAGCTTCTCGAGCCTGTTGCAGCTCCACCTGTGCATCCAGTGCAGGTCCCAGGCACCAGGATACCAACTCGCCCTGCTCCACAGAAAGCATCAGCTGAGGAGGATGAGCTTGCAGCCTTGCAAGCTGAAATGGCATTGTGATCAGGTTATTGATTTATCTTGTTTGATTAGATTTTTTTTGAGGAAAATCTTGTTTGATTAGATTGTACCATGCCTTTTTATTATATATGAAAATTACGGTTGTATAAACATTTGAATTGCTTACTTATACTACATGGATAAATACATGCAAATCTCAATTGTTATATACTACTTTACTTGTGTATCAGGATAATATGAACTCTCAGTTACTGCGAGATTTGTTACTTGCTGGTATCAATCATGTGAACCAAAATATGCTCATTAGCTTATGTATTTTAGCACTCATCGTATTATTCTAAATTAAGTTGCTAGATTTCCTTTCTTGATAAAGGAGTAGGTGCACAACATATCAATGTCGATGTTGCATCTAATTGGTGACAGCTCTGCTGTTGCCTCCATCCCTTTTTGTCGAAGCTGCTGACAGTGCTGCTTACAAAAGCAGCTGCCTCTGTTCCCATGAACCTCACTGAGAACAAGAGGTGAGGCATTGTCAGTAGGAGGGTGAGTGCTAAGAGGGCGTGCAATGGGGGATAGATTACAAGCGAGGGAAGCTGGCTGCTCATGTGGGCTGGGACACTGGGATAATTAAGGGAAGGAGATGGGAGGGATGGCTGGGTGTTGTGCCTAGTGGGCTAGATGTCTTGCTCATTATTCCCGCCCTTTTCCTTTACTTTTATTATGCTGCTTCATGCTTCAGGTTCTAACTTTTATTATCCTGTTCAGGATTTATTGGTAAATATATAGCTTCATAATTGGGCCTGAAATGATCCAACCCTGATTTAGTGAGGCTGTGCCCCATGTTCTGAACTATCATCCCAAAGAACACTGCTCCAGTTGTACCTGTGCTTTTAGTCACCTGCAACTCTGGCCCATGGGCCAGTTGCCATTGGTCCCTGGTGACTGCATAAGCTTTTCTAGGGAAATATTTTTCTAATGTGATATATTTGAATTCACTGAATTATGGATTGAGCTGCTGTCCATCTTCACTTCCACAAATACTTCTCGGGCAAACCTAGTACTGGCCTAGACTAGTTTTTCCATCTAATTCAAACTGTCCCTGCAAACCTTTGATACCTCCTAGCTTTTCCCACACTTTCTTTGAACTACTCAATAAGCAACATTGAAACCGATTTTGTTTTGAAATTTTCATTCATTTATGCCTTTATGATCATTTGGTTGACTGAAATTATGGGCGTCCAGAAAAAAATGATTATGGAAGAAGTTTGAAGGGTTTATGCAATCTAACATTCAACTTCTGCATATTTTTATATCCTTGTTAAGTTATCCGTTTCTTCCATTAATTATTTACCCTAATTTACAACCCGCAGGTTCACAATGAAGAGACGAAATGTACAAATGATTGGCTGTGCTCTACGGAATTTCAACGAGTCTAGCTACAATATAATTTCCCATGTGTGTACAATCTTTGGGGATAGTCAGCAATCAAAGAGAGATGCTGCTTCAGTCCAGTACTCCAGTGTTCTGTTTTAGTGGCTTGGGGGGTGTCGTCTGTTTTCCATGCACATAATTTAAGTTAATCTGGCACAGTAAGCTCCAAGCTAATCCATAGTCATGCAATGTGCATTGCTGTCGCACAATATTTTTCATTGACCATGAAGCCGTGTAAAACAAGTTGAAGCGATTGATACGTTTGTTGGGCTTTCTGCTTCCCTTTTCTTTTGACGACCAAAGTGAGTAAAGTTTCGTTAGTCTTCATTAGTCGTCAGATAGAGTTCAATCTAGTTGAATAGATCGATGATTTGATGGAGGAAACTACTCGCGGATTTGAGGCCGCCTACGCCACCTCCGCTGCCCACCTATGCCGCCGCTGCATCCTCTCCACCGGCGCGCCCCTCGCGGATTTGAGGCCACCGCTTCCACAGGTGCCATCGATCCGTCGCCCTCGCGTGGTTGGGGAATAAAGGAGAAGAGGAAGTAGGTGCTGACACGTGGGCCCTATATTCTCTATTTCTTCACACTTATATGCGGGTCCGCATGTTTTTTATTTTTTATTTTGCTGACTAGGATTCCACGCCAGTGAAACCAGCTGCTCATACTACCTTAGGACCGTTGCACGGTTGACCGTTGCACGGTTTTGTATAATTTAGGGGTAAAGATTTCTAGTATTGACGATAAGGGATGTCAAACAAACTCTCCTCTGCGCTCGTCGCCCACATGCCAAAAAGGGGAAGAGACCGGCCGTTGCACGCCCCGCTCTACTGGTCGGTCGCTCTGCGCCCTTCGCCACCCGCATGCCGAAAAGGGGAAGGAAGAGAGAGAGAGAGGAGTAGGAGCGATTGCTGCTGCCCTGACCACCGCCTGCTCCACCCACCCTGCTTCGCACCGCCAGCCTGCTTCGGCCACCGCCGCTCCGCTCGCCGCACGCCCTGCTCTGCCGGTCGGCCGCTCTGAACCCTTCGCCACCCGCATGCCAAAAAGGGGAAGGGAGAGAGAGAGTAGGAGCGATTGCTGCCGCTCTGACCACCGCCCGCTCCACCCGCCTTGCTTCGCACCGCTAGCTTGCTCCGGCCATCGCCGCCCGCTTAGTAGGGAGCGGTCGTCTCCGCCCACTCCGCCCTTCTGCTCTGCTTCGTGGCTTGATCCGCCTGCCTGCTTTAGCCGCTACTTGCCCTTGCGATGCCACTTTGCCTGCAAGGGGATAGAAAGAAGAGGGGAGTTTTGAGGATGACATGTGGAGCCATATGGGCTCCACCATTTATTATTATTATTTTTCGGATCTAATTGCCACGTAAGCGTCACGTCAATGCTATATGGGACGAAGATCTAGTGAAAGGATCCATGTAGGTCACGTCAGCCAAAATCGAGGTCAATACTGTCGAGGTACCTCGTTTGCATGGTTTTGTAAGTTAAGGGATGCGTTGTATTCGGTTTCGGCGACAAACTGAGGGACCTATAGTGAACTTAATCCCTCATAAATTGAATCCATTTTGGGCCAAGGTGGATCGGCCCAATCCCAATCGCCCTGTCCCGTTACTCCGCCGCATCCCATCAGCACGCGCCGACGGCAAAGCCGAGATAGGGAAGAGAAGGGACCTTCTCACGCCTCCGCCGGTCGCTCGGCCGGCGACCGGCGACCAACCTGCCGATTCCCCGATACCCTCGTGAGTCTATCTCGTCGACTCTATCGTCCGCCGCCATCTCGAAGGTATATTAGGTGCTTCAGATTTGAGGGTGGGGGTTGTTTCAGACTCCTGATTTACACAAGGTGCGATGGTCTCTATGTGCCACTGCCATGAACATGGAGCGATTTCCTTGTGCTGCTCCTTCCAGAAAAATAATAGTGTGATTCCTGACTGCTGCTGATGCTGCTGCTTGTGTGATTTCATTCACTTTTGGTGTCTCTATGCTGCAGTATTGCAGCCCAGTGTTCACCTGACTCACTTTTTATTAGGAGATTCACATTTGTTCATATAATGGAAACTTGCTATATACTAGTATGTTTCAGGAGTAATTGGTTCAAAGCTCACAGTCTACACTCGAAGTTTGCGACCGACCAGCAAACACTGGTCTTGCCGTTTCGGGTTTTCAATTTAGTACTTTACTAGAAAAAATACCCGTGCGTTGCAACGGGTGAAGTCTATTTTAATCATATTATTGTTATATGGTTTAGTTAAGATGAAATTCACTGTGGAAGTTCGCTTGGATATATATATTTTTAGAAAATTATGAGTTGCAGTTAGGAGTCCGATCGCCTCAAGTTAGCATGCGAGTTTTTTTAAACAAATTTCTTATATGATTCCTTATGTATTACCAAAAGTGAACTACGGAGTATCTTAGAAACCGACTCAAATACGGATATGTATTTCCAAAAGCAAACAAACTTAAAAACCGACTCATACACGGATGACGTACCAAAATACCGGCAAAAACATCTTCAATTTTTATAATAGTAGAGATATTGCACTTGGCCACCTGACTTGAGATCAATTATGTTGAACCTTTTGTCAAAATAATAGCTACTGACATGAGCAAGTTTGTCTATTAGTTGACTGACTTACTACAGTTTTGTTTCAACATCACTAGAAAAGGACTTACTACAGTTGACTGACTTATGCTGGTCTGGTCAAGTCTCTGGTTTTCAGCTTGGCATACAAGCAGCTTACTTTAGAGATATAATCAAATCTTTTGTTCACATTGCAGAGAGTGAGTAGGTAAGATAGCAAGAAAATGATGACTAAAAATCCCATATATTCTGGCAAAATCTCATATCTTCTATATGTGACATGGACACAAGGAGGTAAGGAACAAGCATCATGGGCATAATATAACCGTGGAATGAGCTAGGGATCTACTTGCTGAAATTCAGGAGCAGATCTATTCTGACTCTGCTGATTGGTCCATATTTCAGTCCTACCATACGCATATGTGAGTTCCGGCTTTACTGTAACTGCGATTGCATAAATTCTATCATTCTATCACTAGTCTTGACAACCTTCTGATGTTTGTTCAGGTATGTATGATTTTGATATCTTTTCTCTGTCTTTCTCTCTCTTCCTCTCTCTCTGTCTGTGTGTGGCAGTACATGTACAATTTCATGATAAAGTAAATCTTGATCATATGTTGCATTATGTTCAATGATTATGAAACTTACAGTCTTGTACTGCTTCATTTGGGCCTGATTGAGTTTTTACATGCAAATGATTGATGTTATCAAGACTAATAATCAGTTCCTCCTCATGGTAATGAAGCATTGGTAGAAATAAGGTTAAAACATTATGCTTAATGAACTTGTATTAAGTACTTTTCATACTTCATTTGACATGTAAATTTAGAAAGCATTTGAATTATGTTTGATTGGCTTGCAAATAATTCAATATGGATTTAGTATTATATCTAATGGTTTTCTAAATAACAGCATGATTTGTTAACTGCATACAAGTCCTAAGTGCATCAAGTCATTTTTTGACTCACAAATTTTATCAAATATTCTATGGTGGAAGAATGGCAGAAGCCTTGGTATTTATCGTTCTTCAAAAGATTGGTGCTGCTTTAGGGAGAGAAGCACTCAATGTCGTAGGCACACAGTTACAAAAACAGCCACCAACTTTAGTTGATGTTGAGAATAACATGAGGCAGCTTAAAATCGAGTTTCATGTCATGAAAGCTTTTCTCACTCAGCAGCAAATACATTTCTCACAAGATAGAGCCTACGATGCTTGGCTTGATGAAGTAAAGAATGTTGCACATGAAGCTGAGGATGTGATTGATGAGTATGTCTATCTAGCTGGGCAGACAGCCAAAGAAACAAGCAAGCTAAAGAAACTGTTCCATTGCTCCAAAACTACCAGTGATTGGCACATTATTGCAACACAACTTTCACAAATCAAATCTCGCCTTCAAAACCTCACAAACATGAAGGCTCGTTATGGCATTTCAGCAAATGACAGTGAAGATGGTAGCACTTCAAGTCATGAGAGCCTAAAGGAGCTTACATCTGATTCAGCGTATTTTGATACTGAAGATGATATGGTTGGCAATAAAGAAGAATCCGAAAAAGTTATGAAATTATTGATACATGGCGAAGAAACCCGTACAGTCATATCCATTTGTGGAATGGGTGGGCTAGGAAAAACAACTCTTGCCCGGGCCATCTATAAAAAGAATGAGATTAGAAAGAACTTTGATTGCTTTTCGTGGATTACAATCTCCCAAAACTACAAGGTTGAAGATTTGTTTAGAAGAATACTCAAACAATTTCTGGATATGAATGAGAACATTCCTGATCAGACTGACATTATGTATAGGGTAAGCTTGGTAGAGAGGCTAAGAAATTACCTGCAGGACAAAAAGTATTTAATTTTCTTGGATGACATGTGGAGTCAAGATGCTTGGATTCTATTGGATCGTGCTTTTGTGAAAAATAAAAAAGGAAGTAGAATTGTCATTACAACTAGAAATGAAGATGTAGCATCAATTGCAAATAACGGGTGTTCTTTTAAGCCTAAGTACCTACCATGGGGGGATGCATGGGATCTCTTCTGCCGAAAAGCGTTTCACAGGCTAGACCAGAATGGTTGTCCTCAAGTTGTGATGCACTGGGCAGAAAAAATTGTCAGCAAGTGTGAAGGATTGCCTCTTGCTATTGTTGCCATTGGAAGTCTTCTATCCTATAAGCAAATAGATGAGGCAGAGTGGAAGTTGTTCTATGGTCAACTTAACTGGCAACTAACCAAGAACCAAAAGCTCAACTATGTAACAAGTATTCTCAATCTCAGCTTCGATTATCTACCAGCAAATCTAAAAAATTGCTTCCTTTATTGTAGCATGTTCCCTGAAGACCATGAGATCAGAAGAAAACAGATAATTCGGCTATGGATAGCTGAAGGTTTTATTGAAGAAAGGGGAGATATTACATTGGAAGAAGTGGCTGAAGACTACCTCAAAGAACTTGTTCAACGTTCACTTCTTCAAGTTGCTTGGACAAAAGAGTATGAGAGACCAAAGTCATTTCGCATGCATGATCTTGTGAGAGACATAACAGTGACAAAATGCAAAACTGAAAAGTTTTCTCTCCTAGCAGACAACACGTGTGTTACAAAACTGAGTGATGAAGCACGTCGAGTTTCCTTAGTGAAGGGCGGGAAATCAATGGAATCTGGCCAAGGTTCAAGAAAGATCAGGTCCTTTATTTTGTTCGATGAGGAAGTGCAATTCTCATGGATACAAAAGGCAACTTCGAATTTCAGATTGCTAAGGGTCTTGTCCTTACGTTATGCAAAAATTGTGAAGCTTCCTGATGCTGTAACTTATCTGTTCAATTTGCATTATCTTGATTTACGTCATACAGAAGTTCAAGAGATCCAGCAGTCAATTGGGAAGCTGAGGAAGCTACAAACTTTGGATCTTAGGGAGACATTTGTAGAACAGCTGCCAGAAGAAATAAAGTTTCTAACCAAGTTGCGGTTCCTATCTGTCGATGTTGACTGTGATCCTAGCAACTTACACAGACACTTTCCTCGGTTCCAGGCCACTCGAATTTGTTCTGAATTTTATCTTCTGACGGATTTACAAGTGCTAGGAGACATAAAAGCAGGCAAACATGTTGTTACCAATCTTAGTAGATTAACACAGCTACGATGTCTTGGCATCTGCGACGTGAAGCAGGATCATATGGAGAAACTATGTGTCTCCATAAAAAGTATGCCAAATCTTGTTAGGTTGGGTATAGTCTCACATGGTGAGGATGAAATACTTGATCTACAACATTTGGGCCATGTTCCAGATTTGGAATGGCTGCACCTACGAGGGAAGTTACATGGAGCAGGTGCTACATCAAATTTGCAGAATTTCAGTAAATTAAGATACCTAAGCATAGGGTGGTCCAGGTTGCAGGTTGATCCTCTTCCTGCAATCTCACATTTGTCGAACCTAGCAGAACTTTACCTTCAGAAAGCCTATGATGGTTTGTTGATGACCTTTCAGGCTGGCTGGTTTCCAAATCTTAGGGAATTGGGTTTAGCTGACATGGACCAGTTACGTTCAATTGATATTGAAGCTGGCACAATGCCAAACTTGAGCATTTTGGTATTATGTGGGCTGCAGAATATGATATCTGTGCCAGTAGGATTTAAATATCTGACATCACTACAAATTTTACGCCTCTGGGATATGCCAAAAGAATTCATGGAGAGGACACATGCAGAGGATCATGTCTATGTTAAACACATTCATCAGATTCGTTATCATGCTCTCCGTGTGAAACGATGGAAATTCACCAGTAAGATTTCTCATTTGCGCTCCATTTTATAGATCTAAGTATTAACTAGGAAGAGGAAGGTAGCCTGCGCATTCGCGTCAGCATGTATTATAGTTTGTGTTTCAAACACTATAACGACATAATATAAACTGGAGGACATTTCTGGAATATAAATCAGAAAGGAATTTCGCACAGATGCACGGGCTTCTTATTTGTTATTAAAAAAAATGCTAAAAGGAATCATACGTCACTATATATATACTGTAAGGGAATTTAGATTATCCTACAATAAAAAAAGAAATATATTTACCGTAAAATAAACGGTAGATTTCAATATACTACTAATGTGATAAGAATGGATCTTAGATTTAAATAAAAATCCCGATATCAATTGCTAGAACCTTCGGTAAAAATCCCGATATCAATTGCTAGAACCTTCGATAAAAGAAAGGGATGCTGTGTATGAATTGCTCACCTATTCTTCTCTGCGCGATTAATTTTTGGTTTCGATGTGCAAAAACAAACCAGTTCTATTGGAAGCATCCCTATAATGAGTTCCTTAGCAACCTTTATAATAAATGGAATATACCAAATTGTGATCAATCAAATATTGCTAAGTCCTACTCCCTCCGTCCCACAATATAAGGGATTTTGAGTTTTTGCTTGTAACGTTTGACCACTCGTCTTATTCAATTTTTTTTGCAAATATAAAAAACGAAAAGTTGTGCTTAAAGTACTGTAGATAATAAAGTAAGTCACAAATAAAATAAATAATAATTTTAAAATTTTTTGAATAAGACGAGTGGTCAAACGTTGTAAGCGAAAACTCAAAATCAGATTAGTATTTACTACCGCTCGGAATTAGACCATAAAGGAATTTCTATCTATACCAGGACTACAATATCAGATTGGGGAGGAAGATCTTAAAATCGTAGATTAAAGGCTGTTGACAACAAATCTGTGCCAGCACCGATGTTTTTTCCTGATTAGTATTTCTTTCCGATTCTACTGTGCATGCTTTCTTTTTTCTTTTTCGGCTTTATCTTTTTTTTCGATCGTATATGGTGTAGGTATTTAAGTTTTGTTTTTTTTGGGTAGGGAGACGATCGTATGACGTAAGCACGTTATGTTTTTTCCGGGATAGAGATTAGCAACATGGGAATTTAAAGAGCTCTAATCCAATGTTTAAAATAATGGGCCACTAATTTAAGTTGAAAATTGAAGGTTGGATTTTTTTTTACTCTAAATTTCTAGGATTTCTCTAAATTAGAGCGTCACGTGATAACGTAGGAGCGTTCAGGAAGTTTAATAGACTTTTAGTATATAATAGATTTCTAGGATTTTTCTAATTTATTTGAGAGTCACATAGCAGTGTAAAAGCATTTGTAGAAAGTTTAATGTACTTTTACTATATATTAGATAGATTTAGAATATGGTTTAAAGAACATTGATTGGATATATATTATAGATCTTTATTTAACTAAATATATTTATATTTGTGAAGTAATATATTTGATCTAAAATCATATTTTAAAGACCGCTGATTTTTATGGATGTACTTTTTCCGTCCCAAAATAAGTGCAGTTTTGCACTATTCACGTTCAACGTTTGACCGTTCGTTTTATTTGAAAAGTTTTTATGATTAGTATTTTTATTAATCAGTAATAGATGATAAAACATGAATAGTACTTTATGTGTAATTAAATATTTTTAAATTTTTCACAAAATTTTCAAATAAGACGGACGGTCAAACGTTGGGTACGGATATCCACGGTTGCACTTATTTTGGGACGAAGGTAGTATGATTTTTCTGTCTTTTTTTATGTCCATGTGTATATTTTTTTATTCCAGCAAGATTAGGAAAGATCGTGTACGTTTGTACGTATGGAAAGATCAGCAGTAGAATTTGTATCATACAAATTCATACGTACGGACATTAGTAGCGCCTGTATGTTATAAACATGAGGTTATTATTTTTTTATAATAGATCTAATCTAATGGTGTAAACTAATGGATCCATCGATTTAAGTAAAAATCAACGGTGAGATTAGATAATACCATGTGGCGACTTAGGAGTGTTTGTAGGAGTGCCACGTGGCGGCTTCAGAGTATTCATAGGAAGTTTAATGGACTTTTAGTATAAAATAGATAGATTTATTATGTGTCTACACTTGCGCGATTCTTCCACAAGAAGTCAGTAATGCTTCATGTGAATAGTTTCCTAAGATAAACTAAATTGAGTTACCATTGGTTATTTCTGCATATGAATACAGATTATTAACCTAGGCATCTGGGACTTATATAACTAAAACATGTTCTGGGTGATACTAAAATTAGTCCATATGCCTTGCGTTTCTTGGCAGTCTGTTGGTCAGTCTGGAATGCCTGGAACTGTTCCCATTTCCAAAATAAAAAGGGCAATATGCACCAGACATCTTATTCAGACTAATAATAGTTTTGAGGTACTGGGCAGGTCTTCAACGTTCAGAAAAGAAGGAGATGGCACTTTCTGATTCGAAGACCGTGACTGAAAGAAGCTAATGGAACTGCTCATTCTTGCAAGGTGAAAAGGGTGGTTGATGACTTTTTCATAATTAATTTCTGGGAATAAAATACAACCTTTTACTTACTAGTTACTATCGCTTAATGCTATTTTTTGCCAGGCAAGAAGTAAGCTGCTGACCAAATTTTATTAGGCAAAAAGGGGTATCATCAAAGGTGATGCCTGTTACATTAAAAATGACCAGATTCAGAGGTTGCTGGCTACAAGAACAAGTAGTATTTCTCTTTGTAACCATTTCACTCTCGTCAGAACCATTCTTCTGAAGAGAAATGGGGGTGAAAAGAACTCGCAGCCGGCTGCGTCTATTACTGCTGCTCTCTTTTATGCACATATTATTTTTAGATACTCTCTGTTATGCACTTCTGTTTTGTGGTTGTGGTTATGGTTTGTAATCCTATGATTAGCAAGCCTCGAAGCTTGCAAACCCGTTCCGCTTGCTTCCCTAATTGTTGATTATTTTGGTTATACTGCACCCGTCGTTGGTCACTTGATCGTGTTCACATGGATCTCTTTCCAGGTTTATGATGGACGACGTTGTTTCCTCCTTATGATTGATTTGCTGTGGTACTTTGCCTTTCCGAAACCCTGATCCAATTTATCTGGTTACAAGTAAAATATTCGTGCATTGCAACGATTTATTTAAGATAAAAATATAATTATCAGTTATCTTGGTCAGGAAAAAATATCTTATCTTTACTTGGATGAAGTGGTGCACTTCATAAAAACGTGAAGCTTCTCATCTTGCTCAAATTTCAAACGGCTAGAAAACTAAAGAGAGCAAACAGAACGCTCATGTGGGGAATGCGGGGTCCACCGATTTCATGGGCCTACATGTTAGATGACGGTGGTACTCATCACCACCACTCTGGTCTTTTAAAAGAACTAGATAGTGTTGCTTGAATTTTTATTATAAATGTTTACATGTAGATGATATTTTTAAAATAGATCTTGACTCTATTTTAAACATGTTTTTATTAATGTCTTCTTTGCGTTTGAAACCAGCCTTGAGTTTGCGAGAAAAACTTTGTCACGATAATGGAATAATGGAGTTTGTTCGTATCTATTTATACTATATTTGATTTTTTAACCAAGATAAAGTGCTTCTTTTAAATACTACCACAATAATCTCCAGAGCACCGTATTATTGATTATATTTTGACAAATATCTATAATTTTGTGTCTGTTTTTTTCCATAACCTATTGTTCATAATCATGAGGCACCTTATTAATTTGGAGAATGCATCTATGTACAGTAACTAATTTATTGAAGTATACTTGTAGTCACGTCAATAGGGTGTATGACATACATCCATCAAATTATTGCTGCCATGTTTGAATTCCTCAACTATAAGAAAATATATAATGAGTAGTTTATTCCATATGTTACTTGATTGTTTATTTATTGTCAAAGCTATTTGGCAAAGAAAAAACATACATATATGGCCAGAAATCTCATGATCGATTAAGGGGTTGTATTATAGCAAGATCATTAGCTTGAAATATTTTTCATAATTTTTTTCACATCTATGTAATATTTATGTTGCCCACTTCTCGGATACTAATGAAATAGTTCTGAAAATTCAAAAAAAGAGAGGTAAGAATCTATTCTCAAACAAATTAAAATTAAATCAGATCTACTTAGAAAAACACATTGTTTCATTTATTTTATATATGTAGATTTAAATTAGCTTTGTATAGTCGTCAAGTGATATTTGATGCCTTAAATATGATGTGAAATTATTTAAAATATTATCATAACATTGATTATTATATGTCAGTCTATGTGTTGTGATGTATTTAGAACATAGACATGTATATCGGCGTCGAGCGTGCGCCACTTCCTGTAGTACGATTGGTGTCCGCTTGGGAAACTAGGCCGGCGACTGAGTAGAGCACGGCGCCAGCTAGTGCCCATGCCGGTGACGTCGTTGAATAACATATGTTGGAAGAAAGTTGCAAATATACTTATATTTTCAAAAATTTACATTTATATACCTGCATGAGACGGATTTGTAAAAGTATACCTGTTCCGTGGGATGGAAACACGGAACCACGATAGTCCCGCAACTCCAAAACGCGGGACATCGACGGTCCCGCAGCTCCAATATGCGGGACCGCGACGGTCGCGTGGTTGAGAACGCGGGAGCGAGGCAGCCAGTGATTTATATACTGCATCGGCACTGTTTGACCCTATTCTGTGACTATTTGCTACTGTTCATCGCTGTTTTGACGCTGATTATGGACCAGTTCCGCACATTCAACCTGCGGTACCGTCGTTCCAAAAAAGTGCTACACGGTGTCACAGTGCTGCACAACGTTAAAAATTGATGGCTGCCTACCGTCGCGGTACCGTGCTCTTCCATTCCGCGGGACCGTCCAAAACTGCGGGACCGTCGGTCTCACGTTTTGGAGCTATGGGATCATCGTGGTCCCACGTTTCCATCCCGCGGGACGGGTATATTTTTGCTAATCCTTCCGATACATGTATATAAACATAAATTATTAAAAAAATAAGTATATTAGCAAATTTTTTTCAGCATATGTTGTGGCGACGCCTCGCCCAATTGCCGCGGCTACCATGTCGAGCACGCATCTGTCGGAGGTGAAGGTGCGGTCGCAGAGCACACCCCAGCGGCGCGTCGCGTGCTAGGAAGAGAAGAGGAGGAAGAAGAAGTGGTCGTTGATATGTGGGGCCTACGTGGGACCTACTCACCACATCAGCCAAAACCGATCTCTATACTGTCGAGGACCAAAGTTGACACGGTATTATGAGTTGAGGGGTAGACTATACATGGTATTTCGGTTTAAGGAAAAATTTCAAACTCGGCGACAAATTGAGGGATGCTAAGTAAACTTATTTCTAATGGGTTGATCCACATAGGAAACCTGTTCCTTTTAGGCCCATGAATTCCAATTAAGGCCCATGAATTTCTATTAGGGCCTATGACAGTTTTTAAAGTAGCTTACCTTACTGCCTTATTTCTTTCTAGAGGAATTTAAGTTATAATTTTGTGGTATTATAGATAACGTTAATTACACTATTTTATGAAATATTCATAGAATTTGCAGGGCTATTTGCATGTCTTTTTCATATCTAAGGTTTGAACTGGTATTAATCACAGGTGCTTTCAAACCTAGCTAGATACTTTGTCAATCGAAAATCTAAATAAATTTATGGAAAGAAAGTATTGTACAAATAGACACAATTCAGAGGACAGTAGCATAGTTTCAAAATTTCTAGTGTTAAATGTTTACTGGAGTACAATGGACTTTTCCTCCCAGAACTGAACTGTCACCTTCGTGATAGTTCTAGTTGAATGATCCATGATGCAGAGCACGACTGACTGTGACGCACAGCAACATTGTCGGGCTGGAATCCACAAAAGTCCAAATCAAGAAAACTTAATTCAACTACAGGTACAGGGATTTGAGATAAACGTAAAGAATTTGTGGACAGAGTAAAAGTGAAGGAATTAATGCTGATGTAAATATTAGCGGCTCTAAACGTGTGCCTACCGTATCTTACATTCTTACCTCACAAGGAGGAATCTTGGTTGTTGATGATGGTGTTTTTTATGTGAATTAAAAGGTCGACGTGTATCTCTTCTTTATCAATGAAGACTTCTGTCTTTATTTTTTTTTCAAAAAGAAAAGCTCAAAGTTACAAAAGTTTTGAGCATGGCCGGACCGATCAATTTGTCTAAAATAAATTTGTTTGGACGACTGGCCATAATTTATTTCCTCTAGTTTCTCCTTTGTTGTATGTGTGATCAGACCTTTACAGACTTGTCCCAGAGAACCAAAGAATTATATATACAGATTAGAAAAAACTGTAATACAAATAGAGTATACAATAACATAATTTCAATAGAAATTGAAAAGGGAAATAGGGCTGTATTATTTGTTATGATGTGAACATGTAAATACCATAAGTAGAAATTGAAATAAAACGGACCCATACCACTTACAGCTAGCTTGACCATTTTTTAATAATTCAATCTATCACTGTACCGATAAAAAATTAGTATTTACAGTAATTTGGCACATCAATTGTAAAATTCAATCATAGTTTTTTAAATTAAAACGAGTTCCTAACAAGAAAACAAAATAGGAATTTGTACAAGAATGCAATTGTAAATTACCAAAAATGGAAAATTTGCATAAAAAGTTAACAGAGCTTAGCAGCTTCGGTTAGCATGTAAACGGCAGTGGCTGTTGATAGCGGGGCCCGCTATCTCCCATGTCCGTCCCCACCGTATTCTATCTCCAATACGTGATCCTCCCTTCTCTCTCACCCTTATCTCTTTCTCTCTAGGACGCGAGCCAAAGCAGGGGAGCAGAGCTACGGTGACGATGACGACGACGCCAATAAGCCTGCTTCTCCCTCCAATGAGCCCCTCCTCCTCACTCCATCGACGGCGATGCAAGCGGAGTGGACGACAGTGCTAGCGCTAGTTCACTGACGAGTCCCTTCCTCCACCCTCTGGTAACAGGTAAGTTCTTTCTCCATCGCCACCCCCACCCTATCATGCTGCCACCCCAGTTGACACGGCCTCGCACAGCTAGCCCCCTCCCACTCCTCTTCGCCTCGTTTTTCCTCCACCACCATCACCGGCCCACGTCTCGCTGCCGACCCCGTGACTCCGGCGGCAATGCCACCGCTTCGCTGCCGTCCTTGTCCACCACCCACTGCCTCCTAGGCCATTCCTCCAAACCCGACCCCCCGACCCCCCCCCCAACTTTCCCTCCCCAGTGCCATCCTCCCCCACCCCACCCCACTCCACCCCACCCACAACAAAACTCTAACCCTAACCCAAGCGTATCGCCACATGGTCAGAAACCGCACGCCACTTCTCTTCCTGATACACGCATGCTAATTAGGATTCTTGGTTGATAGCACCTTGGGCGCTACACACACACAGTTGATCTAGATTTTAATTATACAAATTTCTATATATAATAAAATTACTTCCTGTGAATACACTGACCAATTACATCAACCCCTTCGTATGTAACACATTATACTTGTTTGAAGTGCCCAAGCAAGCATTCGTAAGTAATAATATTTTTTCAAATCTTTCAAATTAAAATTAGATATGTCGAACACCGTGAGCATCATCGTCCACCTGAGAGGCCAGAGAATGTGCCGATGCTTGTCCTAAACTCCGGATATGACATGGCTGATGGGTTAAATCCTTTGCTTTGCATCAAAGGTAGCTTGCTGAAACCTAGACGTGTTGGTGCTAACTCTGGCTGTGGCAAGTCCTTGTCGAGGTATTGCATTACCTGCCGCATATTTGGCCTTGAAGCAGGAAATGGATGCAAACACACAAGAGCTAATTTTAGGACTAGGCATGCCTCTTCAATGTTATAATCACCTTGGAGTCTCATGTCCACTGCCTCAGTGAGAGATCCATCATGCCAATGCTTAAGAACCCAATCAACCAGCATAAGTTGGTTGCCTTGAGAGTTTTGTTTCACTGGCCTTTGTCCACAAGTGGTCTCAAGAAGGAATGCGCCAAAAGCAAACACATCTGTGAGAGGGGATGCCTTACCTGTCTGTACCATCTCAGGTGCTAGGTAGCCCATGGTCCTAACCACATGTGTAGTCTGTAGGTCAGTACCATGATCATATAGTCGTGCAAGCCCAAAGTCGCCTAATCTCCCATTCATTTCAGCATCAAGGAGTATATTGCTTGCCTTTATGTCTCGATGTATAACAACTTTCTCCCATCTCTCGTGCAAATAGAACAATCCACATGCAACATCTTTAATTATCTGAAATCTTTGAGCCCAATTAAGTATAGCCCTATTGTCTACATCATGTAGATACTTATCAAGACTACCTTTTGGCATGTAGTTATAGACCAAAAGTAGTTCACTCTTCCGTCGACAGTAGCCAAGTAGTGGCACAAGGTTGCGATGTCGAAGACGACCAATGCTAACAATCTCTGTTATAAACTCCTTCATTCCTTGTCTCGACTCATGGGAGATCTTCTTCACGGCAATCTCCAATTTGGATGTCGCAAGGACTCCTTTATAGACTTTCCCAAATCCACCTACTCCAATCATGTTTTTATTCTTAAATCCTTGAGTGGCATGGAACAGGTCCTTGTATGAAAACCGCTGAGGCCCAAAATCAATCTCCCAATCTTCTCGTAGCTCAGCATACAGTAGCTTCCTCCGCACAATCAAAATGACCATGGTGCCGACAATGATGATGAACATGGCACTGGCTATTGGGAGGACGATTTCCAAGACATTGGAACGAGGCTTGGTTCCAACACGAGGTAGCTTTGGTAGTTTGGTGATATCAATGTCCGGAGCTGGAACACCCATGCCAAAGCTCCAGCCAAGCACGATATGTCGTGTGCTAATTACGCCAGTTGCAGCTGAAAAACCTATGTACACAGGGTCTGTGAGCACAGTCGAGAGATCATAGGTGGCATAGAGCAGTGGCCTCTTCGGCTTTGGTGTATCAATGGGAGCCATGGTCACGGTGATCTGCGTGGCCTCTTCGCTGTATTCCATCCAAACTTGCATAGCCCGACCATTGTACAGAGTCAAGTTTGTGAAAATCCCGTTCTTGTCATCATAGAAGCCAGCAAAGGAGGAATTCACGGAGCGGACGTCATTGATATCAATGCCAACATGGCTGTTACTGATATCCCCAAACTCATTGTTCTGAAAGGTGTCGAGCTCGACTGCGAGGATGCGGTTACTTGAATTCCCTCTGTTGCTGATGTTAAAGAGACCCAGGTACCCATCTGGCCACGCAGTCGAGAGATTGTTGCTTGGGGCTATCAAGAACGCCATGCCATCGTAGCTTCTATCGGAGTAGAAGGACTGGATGGCGAACATGAAGTTCACCGAGAATGACTGAACGGTGCTGTTGGGTGAACTGCGGAAATGCATAGGTGTTGGGAAGAATGCATGGCCATTGAGATCATTCTTGTCACTAGTCAGCTCAAGGAGTCCTTCCGGTGTGATTTTGGTGGTGCCATCGATAGTGAGGTTTTTGCCGGTGAAACCATGGTAGATGAATTGGTTTTGACCGGCACAAAGGGCTATAAGGTTGAAGCCAAGCGACACAAGGAGCAGAAAGAAGGGAGGATGCTCCATGTCACAGGTATAGAACTTCAGCCTTCAAGGAAGTTGGAAGAGCATATGTAGCGTATATTTTGTAGTTCGAACACCGGTTAATCGTGCTTACACGGTAGCTAGGTAAGCATCTTATAAATATTTTGCACGGTGGATCTCCTGAGACCACAACCACGCTGGACTATATACCCTAAACCCCAAGTCAGGTGTCTAGCTACCCCGGTTTTCCACAAGCTTCCCTTTCTGAAAGTAACAGTTAGGGGATTTTTTTTTTCTACTTCGCATTACAATTTAGAGATATTCTAGTGTAAATTTACCTAAAAATTGTGGTATCTTGCTCGATACGTCCTCAAGTATTGTAAAATCACTCAATAATTATTTTCAAGAACATGATATTAATCTTACTTTGGAATGATACCGTGCTAAAAATCTCGTAAAGTACAACAGGTGATTGACAACTGTAAGTAAAAAGGACGAACAGTTATGTACACACAGCGTTGTCTGAAATTTTCCAAATTATTTCGTCCTTAAATTTATTTTTTAAAATTTTATGGTGAATTAAAAAAATTAAAATTCCATAAAAATGTTCTTTTATGGAATTTTATTTTTTGCATAATGAAATACTAGTATAACTGGTGTGTATATACTACATCAACTCGCTATTAGATAGTTCCCCAACAAACTCAAGTGAACTGGAGAAAGTAAAACAACATTTTTTGCCATCATGTAATTATCCAAATAGTAACAAACTATATCGGTTACAACTTAGGAATTAAGAATTATTAAATTATTAGGATGACAAACAAAATCGTGTCAAATCAATGTTGAGCTTTCATGTCATTAATTAATGACATTTGATTTTTAAACACCACAACTAAATAGTCAAAAATTGCAAGAAGTACCCATCAAATAAATTTGATTCTATCCATCTGTAGAATTACTTTGTCCGTTTTGGTAGTTTGGTCTCCTCTTCAGCTGTTTCTCACTTGTATATTGCTAGATTCGCATCCTGCTGAGTCAACATGACTTGGGTTGCGGTAGAAAAAAATGCCAGATGGAATATTAGGACGCGGCTTTAAATCAACCACATCATGTCTTCGTCGCTAGTAAAATTTTCTAATGCACTAGTCCCGTTCAATGTAGAAAAGTACTAGTCTGAAAATGCCATGTCTGGACAGTTGGATTACCTGTTGCCTGATGGCAATGCAGTCTAGAATTGTTTCCTCGCACTCCAACAAGTCACAATGACTAGATGTTACAGCGTTATATTGGTGGCGGTTTTGTTTTACCTTTTCTAGATCATATATAGCCTTCCAAACTAAACTATAATGTTATAACTTTTTATTTGCTATAACAATATGAAACATTTGATGTTCATTTCAAAAACAGCGTCAATATTATTAAACACAAATATTATCTTTGCTATCTTTGTAGTGGTTCATGCTTACCTTTTTAATACAAATAATCACATTTATAGATTATTTGAACTATTTAATTATCAAACATGGATTCAAAATTTATAAGAGTAAATTGCACTAGCGGTCCTTAAATATACAAGCAGGTTTTATCTACGTCCACGAACTTGCAAAGTGTGCATTGAGGTCTCTAAACTTGATTTATTGTATCATCCTGATCCAAAGCGTTGTTTAACCGTGGTCTTGCCTACGTGGCATGACATGTAAACGACAACATGGCACATTATTATTATTATTATTATTATTATTATTATTATTATTATTATTATTTATTTATTTATTTATTTATTTTTTCTCCCTTCTTCCTCTTTCATTTCTCTCTTCTTCGGCCTGTTCGACGCGGGGGAGCTCGAGGTGGCTTTAGTGGAGGAAGAAGATAAAAGAATAGGAGGAAAAAGAAAAGGGGAAAGGAAAAAACACCATATTATCGTCCACGTGGTGTGCCACGTACGCAAGACCACGGTCAATAGACGCTTTGGATCGGGATGATACAATAAACCAAGTTTAGAGACCTCGATGCGCGCTTTGCAAATTCGTGGACCTAAGTGAAACCTCATGACAAGTTTAAGGACCGCTAGTGTATTTTACTCAATTTATAACTTTATGTTCTAGCTTGACTTTTTAAGTTTGAATCAAACTTAAAAAAATAACTGCTAGAAATCACTTCGGGAAATTTATAAATATATTATATTACTTAGTCCATGGAAATTTTGGATATTTTTTCTTGTATTTATTATTACACAAATAAAAATTAAACATAATTACATATATTGGTATCGATCGGTAACAAACTTATAGAGAAATGTTTAACAACGGTGTCTACTACTAGTAGAAATTAATAGCCGCTCATCTTTTCTAATTACATGGATCATATCTATTTATACTACCATCTCAACTATGGGTAGTAGAATATTTTTTTCTCTATTGTTAGTTAAACTTATAAATCAATAATTAAGATCACTTCTATCGGTGATAATACTGATAGTATTTTTTTAACAGGAATACTGATAGTATTCACCAAAGTAAAGTAGTCAACTTACAAATTAACCTTGTCCACAATTGGATACATACTTGAATAGATACGGCAGCGGGGAAAAACAAAACAAGAGAAAAGTAAAAGCCATGGAGTTGCTAGACATTGCCTTATCTCTGGATGTTATAAACTCCGGTGTAAGCTTAAAAGGAGGCAACTGCCCAAGATCACCTCCTCACTTTTCGATCACTCTTTTTTACTTCTACAAATATTGTGGGCAAAGGCCTGGGTTTATAGTCAAGGCTGGCATGAAGCTCACTTTATTACTTCTACAGATACTGTTCTTTAGCCTTGATCTAGTGAGCTGTGCATATGGTGAATACGTATTCATCTACTCTGGCTTCGCCCACAATAACATTACCCTTGATGGTGCAGCCATGGTGACTGCCAACGGCCTCCTCGACATAACCAATGGCTCTACCAGGCTCAATGGGCATGCTTTCTATCCAACTCCGCTGCCCTTCTGCAACTTCTCCAGTGGCCTGGTGCAATCCTTTTCCACATCTTTTGTATTTGGTGTCCAATCTACCTACCCTAGCCAAGGCTTTACATTCTTCATAGCACCAAGCAAGAATTTTTCATCCGCGTTGCCAGTACAATTCCTGGGACTCCTCAACAGCGAGAACAATGGCGACATGAAAAACCAAATCTTTGCAGTCGAGTTTGACAGCATAAAAAATATTGAGTTCCAAGATATCAACAACAACCACGTTGGGTTTGACATCAATAGTCTCATCTCTGTGGACTCATACCCTGCTGGTTTCTATGATGATAAAGATGGTATCTTCAGTAATTTGACCATAACTAGTAGTGAAGCAATGCAAGTTTGGGTGGATTACAATGGAGATATCGCACAAATTAGTGTCACCATGGCTCCCATGGGTATGGCGAAACCATTAAAGCCATTAGGATCAGCCAATCGTAACCTCTCATCTGTACTTAGTGAGATGGCATATGTTGGCTTTTCATCTGCTGCAGGCAGGGACAACACTCGGCATTACATTCTCGGGTGGAGTTTTGGTCTAAATAGTGCTGCTCCAAGTATTGATATCACCAGTCTGCCGAAGATGCCTCATTTTGAACCCAAGGCTAGATCAAAGATCCTAGAAATCATTTTACCAATAGCAACGGCAGTGTCCATCCTTTCCGTTGGCACCATCATTCTTTTACTTGTACGAAGGCACCTAAGATATTCAGAGGTACGGGAAGATTGGGAAGTTGAGTTTGGGCCACATAGATTCTCTTTTAGGGATTTGTTTCATGCCACGGAAGGATTCAAGGACAAGAATCTTTTAGGCATTGGAGGATTCGGAAGAGTATATAGAGGAGTGCTTCCAGCGTCAAAACTAGATATAGCAGTGAAAAGAGTGTCACATGATTCAAAGCAGGGCATGAAGGAATTCGTTGCAGAAGTTGTCAGCATAGGCCGCCTCCAACACCGTAACATTGTGCATTTACTTGGTTATTGTCGACGAAAAGGTGAATTATTTTTAGTGTATGACTACATACCAAAAGGAAGCCTTGACAAGTACTTGTATGGTTAAGAGGACAAGCCGATCCTTACTTGGGCTCAAAGGTTCCTGATCATCAAAGGAATTACATCTGGATTGGTCTATCTTCATGAGGAGTGGGAGAAAGTTGTCATTCATCGAGATATCAAGGCAAGCAATGTGCTCCTTGACGCCGAGATGAATGGGAGACTTGGTGACTTTGGCCTTGCAAGGTTGTACGATCGTGGTGTCGATGCACAAACAACCCGTGTGGTAGGCACCATAGGATACATGGCTCCTGAATTGGCATCAAGCAGCAAGGCAACCCCTCTCACCGATGTATTTTCCTTCGGTATATTTGTTCTTGAAGTCACATGTGGGAAAAGGCCCATCAAGGAAGATGTCAACGGTAACCAAATCATGCTGGTGGATTGGGTGCTAGAGCATTGGCAGAAGGGATCACTTACTGATACAGTAGACACGAAGCTCCAAGGTAACTATGATGTTGACGAGGCAAGCATGGCACTAAAGCTGGGATTGCTGTGCTCCCACCCGTTTGCAGATGCTAGACCAAAAATGCAGCAAGTCATGCAATACCTTGAAGGAGAGGTTCCAATACCTGAGGATATGCCACCTCATTTGAGCTTTGAGATGCTAACGTTGATGCAGAACGAAGGGTTTGACTCGTACGTCATGTCTTTTCCTTCATCAGTAACAAACCATTCATCAGCAGCCAGCCACGGCTCACTAATGTCCGCTCTCTCTGGAGGAAGGTGACAATAATCACGGTGCATGCTAATTGCAAAATTACCGTATTAGCTAGATTGTACTATGTGCAAAGCTTATATGATAGACTCTAGGAGCTTTTTAAGGTCCTTTAGGATTAAGAGGTACCACGATCAAGGACTGAAAGAAAGCTTAAGACGCTGTCCTTTTCTTGTATATGGGTGATAAGCTTATTAATTCTACAATATATATTGCATGGATCTTTGTCTGCTGCTCATCGATGTTGTGTGGCTTTGGCCAAGCCGATGATATGGCTGGATTTGAATTTCTTTAACAATGTTGAGATACTCTGATTCGCTCTTCTTTTGAAAAAATAATAGATAGAAATCCGACATCTGTATCCATGTA